TATTGCTATAAATTTTACTAAAATAAAATTATATTTATTGAAATAAATAATTAATTAAACAGTATATTATTTTTTTTAAAATTGAAGCTCTAAACTAGCTTTACACTAAAATAAAGCTATTTTTTAATTTTTATTTTTAAAAAAGTAAAAAAATATAAATATAATTATTGCTATAAATTTTACTAAAATAAAATAATATTTATTAAAATAAATAATTAATTAAACAATATATTATTTTTTTTTAAAATTGAAGCTTTAAACTAGTTTTATACTGAAATTACAGCTATTTTTTAATTTTTATTTCTAAAAAAGTAAAAAAATATAAATATAATTATTTTTTTTTACTATGATCAGCTTCATAAATAAATTAGTTATTCTATAGTGATTATTGTATTTTATGTTACGTCACATCTATATTTTATAGTAATCTCTGTATTTCATAATATGTCACATCTATATTTTATGAATAACAATATATTTTTTAAAATTGTTAGTTGCATGAATTACTTTATTGAGGCAGAATTTTAAAATTATAGTTGCACAAATAACTTTACTAAAGCAAAATTTTTTAAAATTGGCATAGTTGTGCAAATAACTTTATGAATGCAAAAATTTTTTTAAAATTGTTATAGTTGTGCAAATAATTTTACTGAAATAGATTTTTTTAAATTGTCATAGTTGTATAAATGAGTTTACTGAAGCAGATTTTTTTTAAAATTGTTATAATTGTATGAATGATTTAACTAAGATAGGATTTTTTAAATTGTTATAGTTGCACTCAATATTTAAAAAAAAGTTATATTTTTGCATTATTTATTAGTTTGCTTAAATTATATTATAATTTCAATATTGATTAATTGTAATATGATCTGTATTTAAATAGTAATTATTAATGACCATAGTACCTTGATCACTATTCAACATACTCTGCAAGTTAGATTGCGATCATAACAACCTTTTTCCATCCAAAGTTAGGTTTTTCTTAGTAGCATTAATATGAGGAGGTAGATTTAGTTTTGAGCTATTTTTAAAGAACTTTTAAACTCAAAATATACTAAGCTTTTTGGTAAAATATCAAAGCCAGTAGAGTCATCATTAACAGATTTCTAAAATAATTTAATATATATTAATATGTAAATATATAGATTTAATTAAATTTAATTTAAAATAATTAAAAAATTTTACTGGATCTTGATATTTATCTTTAATACTATCATTATCTTGAGATTCTAGAAGATCAACATGATCAAGCCAACCAACTCCTAATGAAAAACATTAATATTTTCTCAGAAAATATCTTAGAAGATGGACAATCCAAAGAATTAGGACAAACTAATGTTATTTGTCATGAAATCAATACAAATAACTACCAACCTATCAAACAAAGAGCTTATCAATACCCTCCAGATAAACAAGACTTTCTTCAAAAAGAAATTCAAGCAATGGAAGAAAAGAGAATTATCAGAGAATCTTTTGGATCATGGTCTTCTCCTGTTGTAATTGTACCAAAGAAAGATGAACAAAAAAGACTTTGCATTGATTATAGGAAACTCAATGCTATTACTGAAAAAGATGTTTACCCATTACTGACAATCCAAG